TGTAGGAAAGGTCCATCAGCTCAGCCCAAGAAATTTATGTCCCTTTCAAGGGTGACACAAAATTTGTTTGAAAAAAGGCTAGGGTTGGCAGTTTTTTCTAGGGTCGGTCGGGAAACAGTACACACAACATTTTTTCCCCAGTCCTAGATATTCAGTCTATGGTCTTGACATATGGAAAGTTAAATCTCTGTGTTGTTGCACCTCTTGAATACTAATTATATCACCAGAGTCTTCCTTTTCGTCTAGTGAGAAAAATTTGCCCAGACACATTCTACGATCCCTTAGGCCACACCAATTTAATTTCTTGGTTAACGGATTCGCCCGCTTCGTTTTTTTCTGATTTGAAAATAAAAATAAAAATTCAGAATCAACTGCAAAATGCTCATATTTTGCCCTGAACAGTTGAAAACAGCCCTTTTCTTCCTAGTTGTTACAGTTATTCCATCTTCCAATACAGTGGTATCATTAAAAGTTCAAAATTCATTGTTTAAATTTTGAACCAGTCTGGTGTGTTGACTTCATGGCTCCTATCGTACCATTTTGGGCCATAATAGAATCCCTAGGTCTGTTTTTATTTTTATTTTTTTTTCGCCCGCCCGCTCCATTATTATTCTAGAAAAATCCGTTAACCAATAAATTAAATTGGTGTGGCCTTAGGCACAGATATCTCTAGGAAAAGTCTTCATTTTGTTCTTTGACAACCTATTTGTACAGCCTTCTGGCAATCTCAAAGTCCAGCTGCTTTCCGGTTGAACACAATTTTCTTTTCAACGCAGCTGTACTTCTTTATCTCGTACCACAACTTTTTAAAGTGACTTTACGCTGATGTTGCTTGGGGGTTAAGCTACATTTTGTATGTTGTCCCCTCTGAAAACTAAATGGACTGTGGCTCAGTAAGGACCCTATAAGAGACACCTGGAAAAGGATGATTCCTTCTGCCCTTTCCATCAATGACATCCACCTTCACACTGCCCATGCATCCTCACCTCTTCAAGGGAAATAAGTCCAAGTCCCAAGTTACCCAGGGAGCACACAGTTCGCTAAAATCCAATAATACTAAGCTCTTGGGCTGCCCCGCTTTCTTGAAGTAGAGGGGCATGTGTCGCAAAAAATTGCAAGGCTACTCCTTTTGCTGAACAAACATTCCATTGTGATTGACTCACAGGGGAACGTATAAAAAATTACTGCATTAAAACTGTCCCCATTCAGCCACTTCAAACGTAGCACTTGTCACGTAAATCCGAGGAGTAAGAGACATGAGTAGGAAGATATTGCCTTTTTCCCTCACCAGGGGAGAAAGGGGCGTGCGGGGGAACATAATTCGGTCATTAAGGCATGATGGAACACTTCTTTTCTGCTTGAAGTCTTCCCGCCTTTTCCGTGTTTGCTCCGCAGCACGCTCCGTGACTGACAGCCCCACGCCAGAGACGTATTGTGAAAGGGCAAAGGTCGTATGATGAAGGACTCTGGAACCCAACAAAAATGATGGCAAGGAAATGAGCTTACTTTTGCAGGTGACAGAGAGAAATGGATCCATTCTTGAGGTTATAGCAGCGCACCGTGCATCCATTTGATGCCTACTTCCCTGTGTCAAATTATACCGAGAGGTCTGACACGATATTGCTGCAAATTTCATCAACGCCGAAATCCCCTTGATCCACGAATTCCACGTTACGCCCCATCATTCTTTGCACCTTCATTTGTCTCTGTTCGCAAACGACAGTCAGAACTTGCAATCATTCTCTGAAGTTGTAACTATTCCTGATTACTTCTGGAACTTTTATGCACAGACCAGTTGAAAAGGGATGGCAGGATTTCTTCATAATCCCCACATGAATCTCTTACAAATCTGTTTTTTCTGTGTTTTCCCTTGAAGTTCTTCTAAGCAGACTTTAACTCCAATCTGTGCCATCAATCAAGTTACTTGAGGGATGCTATCAGACCAAAGATAGAGAAAAAAAGAACTCACCAGAATGTGCAATCTTTGACAACATTTGATTTTATTCGTGATACTTTTATGTTTGACACTATCTTACACAGTGACGAATTGGAAAACAGGGGAGTCATTGATCACATGTACAGGATTGAATCTTAGTATGTTGGGCATATCTGCATTTCTAGGCCCTAACTTGCAATGTGTTGAGTTGCTTTATTGTTTAAGGAGAACCTCATCTTTAGCACATTGAGAAAATCCATTAAATAATTACATGATATTTTCCTCAGAACCCTTGGATGATTTCCACTAAATCATGTCATGAGAGTGTGGCTTGTAATGATTATCTGTTTCATTGAAAAGCAAATGCGTATGGTTACAAAAAGCTTTGTTGGGATTATGCCAGAAATTTTATAATACCTACAGATGGCATAACAGAAACTGTACAAATAACAAAAGTTATAACACATTTATTGTAGGCATGAGGTACATACATGCATTATATATACTCCATAAATATATGTTAATATTTTTCATGTAACGGGTACATGTAGGCACATTTTCCTGAGGAGAAGTTAAATAATCTTTTTTTCCAATAAAAAAAGTTTGAGTTCAACACAAGATAATCACATGCTCACATACAACTTTGTTGGCAATGCCAACTAGGCTTCAGTCCAGGATTTTACTGTACAGGGTCAAAGAACTTTTGCTGACCCTTTTGTAACAGGAGCTACAATTGCTCAGTATAAAGTGTTCGATATGGCCAGCACGGCAACAGAAATACGAGATAGATCATGCTTGAGTGCCAACGAAGTCTTTTTCCTCTAGAGGTCTTACTCAAAAGGCTTGAAGTGGGTGTTTGGCTATCTTCCCAGAATCAAAGTTAGCTAAATGGTCCATACGTAATATTTCCCAAGAAAGCGTAAAGCCTTTTCTTGGAAACTCCAAGTGCCAAGCTTTACAAAGAAACTGAAATATACTGTACACGTAAGTAACTCAAGTTAGTACAGGCAGTTTCAGGCAGCCTTACTGACATCTCTCTGACATGTTTGACACCCCACAACTTGTCTGATGGATCATAGAGATCTAGAGCTCTAAATTACCTAGTAAAGACCAAGTCCTGGGGCAGGAGAAAGCTTCAATTCTAAACTTACATTGTGTACTAAGTCACCAGGTAACAAGTCGAGCCTAAACCTGTACCATAGAGAGGAAAAAACTGCATTCAATTGCTACTTTCTACTGCAGCCCAATTTTGAGTTCAAACTTTACCCAAAAATATGGCCATTACAGGTAATTATGCAGTAAGCCTACCATCAAGGGATCCAATTATGGGAGGATAGGGGAGATTTGTCAGTCCTTTGAACACAGGGATTATGGGATGATTTAGAGGAAACTAATACTCAATGGAGAGTTAGAAGTTCGACCTTAGGGCAAGTAAATGCCATTATCAATACTCAACTTTTACGACTGTCTATAGCGTTTAATGAAAACTTTCCTGGCTATACTTTTTTTACATAACTGGTTTTACAAGTTACTACAGCAAGTTGGTCTGCCCCCCTCCCCCATTTCTCTAATCAATAAGGTGAAATGAAGCCAATATCAGATTTTACTGATTAACAGTTATAACAGAAAATCATTTACTTTTACTATGCCTCAGGCTGGGTACTCTGTTGTCAATAAAGTTTGTTTCCTTCTTTTGATACTGAATAATAATAATAATATATAATACTTAATGCAATCTGTTACAATTAACCTTGAGTCTATATGTATAAAAGTCTGACGGAGCTGGCATACGTGTATAAAATGGAGATATATAGCAAGAAGAAATCCCATTCAGCTTAAAGAACAGTGTAATAAAGAGAGAAAGATAGCCATTTCACTGCTTTAATGGAATTTATGGGACAGTATTGTATACTCTGTACTGGCAAAGGCCTAATCAAACTCACAATGAAGAGACCTATAAGTTCAAGTATAGTATGCCGACTTACAAATTATGTCAGGAATTATGTTTGAAAAGAATCAGGCTATTTACAGCAGAAATAGTAGTCAATATTTCTCCAAAAGTTGATGCAATTCCAAGATTTACAAAGAAATATGTAACATAATACTGAGAAAGCAATGTACACATGTTAAGGTGTTCAGCCATGAACCTTTATTACATCATCGATCATTACAGTTGTTATCTTATTTGCTACAGTGTTGCACATGTTCTATCATGTGTAGAGGGAAGATAAGATATCAGATATGGGTGTTTTACACCTAATATGAAACTTTTGATTGACGAAGAGCATTGGCAGGAAACTAAAGGAATTTTATACTATCATCAGGTGTAATAAGAACTACAAGATATTTGGTATATCTAGCTAATTATGTAAAAAAAGTTTTTTTACTTTCCTATGACACAAAAGAATATTAAGATACTAAGGCTTATGAAATCTTCTGCCAATCTGCCATCACTCTCTCTAAATTATATATACATGTATATAGCTATAGCCTTCCTCAGGAAAAATGATCTACGTTGATCATGTGACTGTAACCAGATACTACACAAGCTGTGAGTCAAAGATATCCAAATGTCTGTACTGCCTTCAGGGACGGGTGGTATAGACTTATTGTCTTCGTCAGAAGGACTATGAAATTGTCTCGCCGGAGTGTGGGGAACTGCGGATTTTGCGATATAACTCTGGAAGGCATGATTCGACGTCCATGATTTTTGGCAGGCAGATTACCGCTGTTAAGGCCAAAGTCAAGTACAAGTTTTGGCTTCGTGGGGGGTCCGTGCGTCACGTTAGTGCACCTTTTGTGTTTGTGGCTTGTTAGCAAGATAACTCAAGTATTTGTAAAATGTTGATTATAATTCTTGGTGTGGTGCTTACTATTGTCGGGACCAAGGTTAAGTTCGTTACTGAGCTTCGTGGGGGGTTTCGTTGTGACTACAGGGGGCATTTTGTTAATTTTTCTTGTGAGCAGGATAACTTTTGTATGTATGGATGGAAGTTAATGAAATTTGATAGGCATATTACTGTCATGGTCTCCAAGATTGAGTTCAAAGATGAGAGTCGTGGAGGTCGTTATGTCCCCGTAATAGGACCTTTTGTGTTTAGAAATCCCCCACCTACATCTGCTTGGAGACAGCCGACAGCTGGATGTAGCGGGAACCCCATAATGGGATGGGATCAAATGACGTTACATTGAGGGATTGTACTATAACTTCAGCAGGGGGAGGATAGGTTGGACATATGTCGGGTTATTTTCTACGGCCACACCAAGTAATTGCTATGGATGACGTCCACTGGAGACCTTAAATCTAATTACCTTAAACTGAAGGCAAGCACGCAATAAAAACACGAAGGGCCGAAAAACGAGATGCCTAGATTTGGAATATACTAACTGTAGAAGTACAAATGTTAGGACACAAAGAACACAAGAAACAAGTCTTCTTTTTGT